GATTTTCCATCACATAAACATATAATGATAGCCTCCTATCATTTGGGTTAACATTTATATTACCTAAAATAAACTCTGATCCTGGTGTTGTTCTATAATTGGCATGTGACAGAGTACACACTGAAGCAAATATAAGTCCAGAAAGCATTCTCTGTTTTTACATTATAACAAATTTTCAGACTTTCCTAAACAGACAAGCTTTATTTTGTTGCTATGCAACTGACATACAACATGGTCCATCAGACAGTAAATAAATTATGAATTTTACAGTGACGAGAAAAGTCTTTTTTCTCTGAGAACAAGCCACAGCTTCCTTTCATGCTATTCTAATCTACCACAGCCCTCTAAAGCTGTTTCACAAACATGAGTGCTTTGGCAAGATAAACAAGTGAACGAGTAACACAGAAATGACCCAGATGCATTCTGCAAGCTGCACGCTAACAAGCATCAATACCATTCAATTCCTTTCCACAAACCTGGGAAGCTGGGCTCCCCAAGCCTTGTGGAGAGAAGGAAGTTTATTTCATATGCACACTCAGAAGCTTAAACAAAGGAGATTCTGGCAATTTCTGTTGACAGGGATCCATCACTCTTATGGGTCTCAGGCATGATTCTGTGTAAAGGCATAAGAGTAATTTCAGCCATGAGGGAAACATCTGTGAGAATAAGATGTTACAGGGGTTGAGAACTGTGTCTTGTGGGCCAGACATGGACTACACCCAGGTATAGCCTGACATGCTCAATGTTCAAAATGTTAATACTTGCCAACATTTCAAATCTTTACATAAAATTCTAGATGCCTTGCTCTTCATGAAAAATCATAAAATAACACTGAATTTGCATTTTCAAAAATATCAGTTAGAATCAGCTTCCAGCAGAATAATTGGAAATAATCCAAACATTGAACAATGAGAGAAGAGATAGATAAGGTGTGGTACATTCCCACAATGGATTACTACAGAGCAATAAACAGAACTGACTACTGATACACTCAAACAACGTGACTGGATTTCACATATAATGAGCAAAAGAAATCAAATACCAATGCAAATACTATGTGGATCCACTTATATGAA